GTTACTGATTAAATTTGGGAGAGCGTGATAATAATTATTTTTGTTTTTGCAAGAATGAATAGAGGATCAACGAATTGATTTTGGTATTAGTGAATAATTTTTGGTTAAAGAAGATAAAAGTTATTTAAATAAAATATTACTATTTTATTTATTTAGTTTTATTTAGTCGAAACTAATTAACTTGTTATCAAGTTTTTCATAGTCGAAACTAATTAACTTATAACAAAGTTGTTTTTACATTAGGTCGAAATCAAGTTCTTTATATACATATTAGCCCGAATTGGGCGATTCCGCCCGGTTTGTACTTGGGAGATTCCGCCCGGTCTGGGCAATTGTCATTAATCTCTACTAAATAGAGTCAAATAAATATGAATATGCTATGGATTAATTAATAATAATAAAAATTAAATAGACGGGACGTAACACGAATTCAGATGATAATAATTATACACGTTATTAATAAATAAATAGAATTAATAAATAAAAATAATAAAAATAACAATAATGAAAATAAGAATAGATTAAATAATAATATAAATAAAAATAAAGATAGAAATAAAATTTAAATTGTCCCGGAATTAAGAGATTCGACCAAAAAATCTGCGTCAAAATCTAATTCCGGCAACAATACTAACTAATAAAAATTTTTTATAGGGGAAAGATAGATGAATATAAAAAAGTAATGTGTCTTTTTACTTGATTTTTTGTCAGCTAAAATCAGGGATTGGATGCTGGAATTCCCATTTAATATTATATTGCCTATGGCTTAGGATCTACATACCCCTCCCATAATAAAGTTTGCACAAAAAGAATAAGATTTACAATGTAATAAATTTTGTTACTTTAGTCAGTACAATTTTCAGTAAAAATATAACATGATCAGATAGTTTAATCAGTTTCCATTGGATCATTTAAAAAGTCCGAGATATCATATCCAAGCAAATCTTCTTCTTCACCTAACAATTGAACAGATTCTTCAGATCCGTCAGGATATATCAATTGAACAGATTCAAAGTTTTCAGTGCAGAGAACATATATATCATGCTTTTTATGTTGTTCTGGCTCTGAATAATCCATTCCACTATTATGAATATCAATAAGTGCCCACTTATCTGCATGTTTAAGAATAGGGACATATATACCACCTTCTTCAAACCCTTGTTGATGTTCTAACTGTCTATCTCCCATTTTTTCTTGCCATTTACATAAAAGTCTATGTAACGCTTTGATCCAAAGCATGCTCCAGCATCTACAGAGGCCATAAGTATCTTCAGATAAAATCTGCATTGAGGCACAGTAAAATTCCATTTGCCAGACACATTCAAGAAGATGGCCATCTGTGCCTCTGCCTTTACTTTTTTGCAATATTTTTGGATTCATTTTTGTGAAAACTAATTTGATAAATTCATTGAATATACTAGGAGGTGGTTTAGATTGGCTTATTGCACCAAAACGGTTTTGATGGTATTTTACTCAGTGCAATGGTGCTGGAAAATCAAGCAGTGCAATATGTGATTTGTTTGAACTTGTATCAACAAGTGCATTGGTCTTAAGAAGTCGACCATCATTTGGAATTTTCTCTGCTTCATAATCAAGACCCCCTTTTTTGAAGAGTACAGCATCAACAATTCTTCTTTCTTCATATGAAAGATCAGAAGCTGGATAAAATGCATGGATAGTCTGGAAATGTATACCGTATATAAATTGTTTAGTAAATACAACTAGTTATTAGAACAATAAAAAAATATAATAATACATTACCTTGAGGAGATCATTAAAATCATGAGATTTTAGATAAGAAAAAAGTATATCAAAAGATAAAGAATTACTGTCTTTTTTGGTAAATCTTTCACCAATGTGATCCATAGTGTAAACAATTAGACCTGGATGGTAAACTGTTATTTTGGACAAATAGTTAAAAAGATATGGAATGTCATCTTTTACCAATTTTTCTTTAAGATGTTCTTCACAAAATCGATCAAAATAAACTCTAAATTCTTCTTTGGTATAGCAAATATCTTTATATCCCCATTTTGTTTTTTGTAGTAAGTTTATTAAGTGGTGAAATGTCCATGTCTGAACGTTTTTCACGAGTAGCATAAGCACCATAGTGACCATATGGGGCCAATGCTACAATGGAAAGCTGCAAGTTTTGCATTATGCGCTTAAATGCATTCCAAAATGCACTTCCACAATGACAAGGTTCTCCTATATATTTTTTGCACTTCATCGATAATCAAATATGTTTTTTTATCACCACATTGCTGGAGAAACTCATTCCATGTTATATTCATAAGCATTTGAAATCCATCCACAAATGTCCATGAAGGATCAATCAAGTTTTCCATCCAGATCAATGAAATACGAAAAACACAAGCTGATCCATTCTGCACTTCATCTAATTGGAGCAACTTGGCCCCAAGTAGTTGTCCAAGGGATGTTTTTCCTGTCATTGATGGTGATCTAATTAGAATAATGTGTTCATTAAACAGACATTCAAGCAGTCTGTTAATAGTTGGTTCTCTCTGACATACAGTAGCACTAGTAAGGTCAACACCTTCCAGTCCTTTGTAAGTTGTTCCTCCAAGACCTCCTATTCAATACAAAATAGTGAATAACAATGAATCAAATGCACATTAGCATGAAAGTTAAAGACAACAGCTTTATACCTAGTCTTGATATTCCCTTATTTTTAGGTGCGTCTGTTAAAAAACAAAACAGGTTAATCAAACATTGCAAATAGAACTTACTAAACATTATTGTAAACTGATGTGGACAACAGACAACTGGGTGAATGCTCTACTCTATGACTCAGTGATTGTTGTAACAGCATCATATCTTGATAACATGTCTTTTGTTCACCATTAAAATAAGTTATGTATAAC